CCGCCACCAGCACGCACAGGCACACGCCGCTTTTCATGGTTGCAGAGCAAAGGGGAGCTGTGAACGAAGAGAGGAGGCGGCTGTATGCTTTCGCGGAGGGTCGGGGCACCCCGGGAACGGAGAAGAGGGCTCAGTTCACAGACTCGCGGACGGGTACCAGCACCAGGGCTCGCCGAGCGCACGGAGCCCAGCGGCCACGGGACGCGCGTCGGGGCTCATCCGGCTTATCTTTTGGGTGAACGACACCGCCGTCTGGGGGCGGACAGAGACCCTGCCGTCTGCCCTGTTTAGCAGAAGGAACGTCCTGTTGTCTTTAACTTTGGGGACGTGTTTGCAGAGGTCTCTCTTCTAACGGCCAAAGCAAGAGATGAAAGACAGTGGGGGGACCTCCTACAGGGAAGCGGGATGGGAGATCCCAGACCCCGGAAGAAGGTAGCACCTTCCCGGGCAGCTAAGCAGCCTTAGGTGGGGGAGTACATGGTGGGGGAAGAGAAGCACCGTTTAAAATGTGGGAGTGATAAGTAAAAGCCATCTTTACAAAGTTTCTTCAAGGTGGACTAGGGGACGGGCACAGGCAGGGTTTGAACAAAAGTCAGGACCATGGGCTCGGTTCTGGGGGGCTGGCGAGGCTCCGCTGTGTTTTAGATCCGCGGGCAAATAAAACACACGCATCCCCCAAGGAACCGCGCCGCAGTGTTCAGCGAGATGAACTTCAGTCTTAGGCGCTCTCGGCGGTGTGTCCGAAAAAGACTGTAACCACTGCCCCATCCAGCAAACCAGCCCCAAGGCGCCCGCTAATCCCAGCAGACAGACGGCCCCGCGCCTCGCCCGCATAAGGACGCAGCGGCTCAAACCCCCCGCTCCCCCGACCCCCCTGCAGCCCTCACTGGTGTTTCTGACTGTCAGACCCGTCTTTCCAGATGCAGGAGAGACGGCACAGAAACAGGAACAGAGAATGGAAGGGGCTCTTGGGGGCTCGCCACTCGGCTCCCCCGGGAGAGGGGCAGCGGGAACCTACCTGCAGAGCAGGAGTCGCCTGCTTCGCGGTTCTGCACGGGAGCGGCGGGGAGCCG